CCAGTTACAATAAGTACAGGTAAACCTATCAAAAAATCGTACCGTATTCATCATCAACCAGAAACCTGTTCAACTCGTTGTCTGGAAAAGAAAATGGAATGCGATCCGGTTGACCAACATAACTGAAAAGAATGGAATCATATGCTTATTTGACAAGATCAAAACTCATTCAACATAAGCTAGCACAAGCAGAGACCGTCTCTGGTTGTTGTAACAAGTAATAATGATCAGTTGACTCGATACAGCAGTTTGGCGTTGAATCTACTTTATAATGACAGTTTACGTCCTGTACCGCCTATTTCATGGTTTTATCCCAAAAACATTCTATCATCGACAAATGCTTCCTTTTATTTCACGTTATGAGGGTCACTGTCAGTTCATCGTTTGATGGCTGTATGTGAAGAATGTCACTCACTCATCTTGGTGATTCTCACAACTTGGAATACAAAAAGCACACGGTTTTTTTTCCGGGTTGAGGCATAAGGCACGACAAATTGGCATTTTCTTGAAAATATTGGAGCGGGTGTTATATAACGAGAAAATGACAAAAAGCAAAGTAAAACGGCCAAAAAAACCTGCAAAAGGCCTTTGTTCTGCATGGCACTAGACGAGCATTTTTGGACGAGTGTTACGTTGGCATCGTACCAACAAGCGCTTTGGTAGATGCGGCTGCATTTATATTCACATATCCAGAGCAACGCCTCATATCAATTGTTAATTTGTTCAACTGTTACAAATGAAGCGATAAGAGTACCAGCGTCCATGTGATGTAAGGCCACTTGTGGGCGGGCAGTTACGATGGGCGTCTGTTTCGGCATGTTGCAGTTTGACAGGGCGCTGTAAGGGTAGCTTCGTCGGGAAAGGCGCCTTACAGTGCTCAGGGGTAGGGGCGCTGAATACTGTCCAGGCTTATTCATCCTACACACCTTCTGTACTTATCCTGCCACTTGCCTTTACCAGAGTGCTCGCGATCGCAAATGGTGGGTAGTGAGGAATGCCATTGACAAGGTGTCAATTAGCTCAACAGTTCAAAAAAAAAATAGAAAAACTTCCGAAATGCTCTAAATGGGATCCCTACTGATGCCTGTGCATCAGCGAAAAGAGGGCGTGCTTGAACGGGTTAGCACGTTCGTATCAGGCAGTGGTGAAGTAACAGCATCAACGATCGTACGGTGTATGTGGCAGCGGGCAGGGTATTGCCTTCATCATAAGGGCGTGGCATCGTCATCATGTATTTTCGTGAAGCGGAAGTGATGCATCCTTCAGCAGACAGGACTACCTTCTCCGAGGTTGGCGTCCGCACACGAAGTGAAGGCAGAACGTGCCTCTAGGCTCGTCTAAAGGTGCAAGACATAAGCTGTCAAGGCCTTGGTTTGACACCTACGACAATAAACTCTGCTGTTGTTTGGTAGAGCGGCGGGCTCAATTCGGAACCATTTTCGCTGACGCACTCGTGCTCATAAGTAAATCTGCTTTCCCTCGTTACATGCTTCATTAAGAGCACATGCACTCAGAAGCAATCCATCTCGCAACGTAAGATTTGTAAAAACCACAACTGATACCTTTTTTGGTGGAAAATCTCGACGTGTTCTGCTTACTGTAACGCTTATTTCGTATGCAGTGCTCTCGGGACTTTCTTTCTGTTACGAGTTCTGCGTCAGTGATTTTCTTTTTCTTTTTTGTACTGAATAACATCTGGTATTGGAAGATAAAAAAACGATTCGCGAGCCAGGGTTGCAAGAAAGTGCAAGCCGTCGAGTTGCTAACAAAAAAAAAACTCGTACAATGAGGTTATGAGAGGTTCTGTTTATGACGTTCTCCTTAATTCTTCTTCTTTACGGATCACCTTTCAGCTATTGGTTTGTAATTAAACAGCCACTACCCAAGATACTAGTTTGCGGGAGCTGTCTTCGAAGGAGTACTCCTTCGGTAAGGCTGCGTTTATACTTTGCGGGAACGTAGCGTAGCGCTTCCAGCGTTTCACTAGCGTTTCGCTAGCGTTTGCAGCGGCGGGGCTAGAGAGTATAGAAGAGTAGGAGAGTACAGAATACTCTCCTACGCTAGAGAGTATAGAAGAGTAGGAGAGTACAAATA